TTTTTTAGTATGTTTAATGTGAGCTTCAAACAACTGTGTGATCACCCCCACTGCTTATTACCAGTGTATGGTGTCTGAGCGCTCAGAAATATCCACATTTCAACACCGTTCTTCACTGGATGATGGATCCCCCGCTGCTCTCAAGGAGCTTTGTATTTGCTCCTCAGTGATATGGTAATTCAACTCTTTTGCAATGAGACTCCTTTCTTCCACCCCCGGTGTCTCTGCTAAAAGCTCATTCCCATGCCATTCAGCCCCTTAGAGATTCACTGGAGCATTGGGCCACATTTGTCAGCTTAGTTTTATCATTCACATGTATTTTTGCAGTGCATACAGTCCTGGAATTTCCCCTTGATTTGTGTGTTTACTGTACGCTCTGCCTTGATTGGCATTATGTGTTTGTCAGGGTGGAACAGAAATAAAACAAAAGTGGTATGAAGCATGCAGCTCTCTTTATGCAAATTCCTGTACACTGCTTTTGTTTTTGTTTTGTTTTTTTTAAATCATGCAGTTAGCTTTACCTGTTTAAGGGGAGTTAAGTTCCAGTGGGTTTAGGAACAGCAACACTACAGCAAATAACTACTGAGAACTTGCATGAACTCCTTCCACCTCATCCTCTGAGATTCAGGGAGTTGTTTGTTTGTTTTAAACACCTTTGGTATATTAATAAAGGCGTGCAACATTCTATTTTCAATGTTAATGACTCCATATTGTAAAGTATGACTTGCATTAGCATGTGAACTAAAGGTATATTACACTTTTCTGCAGTTGCTGTGTTTTCCACTAGTGGGCGATGTCATGTGTAGTACATTAGTTGCTAGCCTCACCTCTTAGCTATAGACGTTCTTCTTTTTCATGAATCTCATTGACTAAGTTGACTCTGGTCTGACCCATCACTTAATTTTAGATAAGACACGACATGTAAATAAGGCCACTTTAGGGGCACTTGTGGGGGGGGTGACTACACGCCACCGCATGATTGGTCTGCATATAGTTATGGCAATGAGTTTCTATAAATGTTTTGCTGTTATTTTGATTTTTGCAAGTAAATTAAACCCCTTAATAAATAATAAAAATATTTTAATAAAATCTTGGTCATTTTCCTTTTGGGGGAAAAGTTGAAACCCTTTTTAGGGGTTGCGTTAACCTTGATATTTCTTAATTCTGGAAATTTTAACTCCTTTTTAGTTGAGACTTTCTTTCTAAGAAACTAATCCCATTAGTAAACTGTTACAGTTAATGCATGACTGTCTAACCCCTTTGAATTTCTCATACATATGTGTGCACTTTAAGTTATTAAAGAAATAATAGTTCTTCCCAATAATGATGGCAGATACCATATAGAAAGGTAATCATCATAGCAATAGGAATA